TTGGTGAAGTTTTGGAGTTTGCTTTGGGTGATGGTTGGTTGATTTTGGGTCTCTTTGTTGAGGAGTTTCGTCTGAGTTTTTGAGAGCAATAGAAGAGGATTTACTGGAGAAGAAAGGGGGCAACAACGGTGGTTGAGAGGAAGGATCACCGAGCTTCCAGAGGAGCTTCATTTTCTGGGTTTCATCGCTGAAGGTATTTTCTGAAGCAGAGGGATTTTGGGAAAAGGTAGTGAAGGAGACGAACGGAGCCTGATCCCGTGGGTGGATCCCTCCTTTCCAATCTGGACCTACCTCCTCCTAAAAATTCCGCCGTCGATGTTTCTGTTATTTTCTGTTGATTTTGTTTAGATCTGTATTTAAGCTTGTATTTAGTTGTTGGAAAATGAATGGGAATCAAAGATTGTTCTGTTTATTTTACCTGATGAATGTGTTTCTTGCTGAAAATGAGAAGTAAAATGATGAACTCTAAATTTCTCTTCATGTCGTTTGGATTTCGGTTTTTGTTCAAGATTTGAAATGTTTTGTGTTTATCTGTTTGAAGGATTGTGTTTTTGGGTTGTGTTTTGTTGCGGGTTTGATCCAACCCGATCCAATTAAAAAAAGGTTAAAACAAAAAAAATACATATTAAGTATGATTAGTAATTAATTAAGTTAATTAGTTTAATTTATGATTAATGAAATTAATTAATTTTAATTAAAATAAATTAATCATATTTATTTTATCTTAATTTGAGATTATGCTTCTTTGGTTAGAAACCAATTTTATTAACAAAATTTTTATTAAGAAAATTTTTACTAAGTGAATAGAAAAGTATTATATGAAACATTGATAAATATTTTTTAGGAAAATTTTGTTGGAATTTTATAATTAGGTTGTTAACTTTTGGTTAAAATTCAATTTTAGTCCTTAAACTTTTAATTTTAAACATTTTTAGTTCTTGAACAATTTTATGCACGTTTTTGTCTTTGAACTATAAAAAATGTACTTTTATAATATTTCTTTCAATTAATTTGTTAAGTTTGTTTAAATATACATGTTTTGAATCCCTCAACTTATAACATATGTACATTTTTAGTTCTTATATTTTATATATTAAAAGTTCAAAAACTAAACATATGCATGAATTAATTAATAGGACTAAAAATGTATATTTTTCATAGTTTAAGAACCAAATGTAAAAAAATTAAGGGAATAAAAATATTCAAAATTGAAAGTTTGGGGACTAAAATTGGCATTTAAACTTAATTTTCCTATGCTTGGTAAGTAATTGGTATATAAGGAAATATAGTAGGAAAGATATTGAGTGGATTCTATATAGAAAAAGTTGGGGAATAGTTTTTTCTTTTAAAAAAGTGTGAGAAGAAAAATTTATGAATTGGGAATTGAGTTAGAGAAAATAAATGTTAAAAATACCACTTGTACCATATTTTTGTTCTAGTATTATATGTGAAATTTTAAAAAGTTTAGAGAAAAAGTTCCCCCAAATTGGTTTAAGGAAATGAAAAGAAGAAGTGAAGAGGGATGGATTTCTTGACCTATTAAGTTGCCCTACTTATGAATGTTATAATTTGATTGATTAAAAAAATTATTTATTTCATCAATTTCCTTGAAATCAAATATACTCTTAATATTTTACTATATTTGTTGGGATTTGATATTATCTTCTAAGATAAATCTAATAAGATTTTGGCCTTTTCGTTTAATCCTAGGTTGTATTAGAGTCGTTCAAAGTTGAATATAAATTATCTTTTCAAAACCCCTATTCTGATATTCCCTACCTCACCCCTGCTTCTAATTCTTAATTCTCTCCTCACCTTGCTTTTGTTGTGAATCATTTAAGGCAATAATTGTTTTAAGAGAGGCGGTCCTAAAAATACAGATACGCACACCGAGAAAAAAACAGAGATGGAAAATCAAGAATCCTTCCCCATGACTGGTGGAGATGGCCCAACCAGCTATGCTCGGAATTCCAATCGTCAGGTACTCGGAGTTTAATCATTTGGAACTCGTTATTATCAAAACCCAATATTTTTACTTTTCTATTCTAAAGTGATTGTCATTTTTTAAACAAATTTAGCTCTACTTAAGACTAAACAACAACTATTTTGAAACAAAATGAGTAAATACTAATTTTAGTTTCCTGTTATTCAATATCTAAACATATTTCAAGCCCACTTTTTCCTTTTAATTAATGTAGAAAGAAGCAGCAGAGCATGTGTTATCCATACTTGTTGAGTCCGTCATTGAGAATCTTGAAATAGAACCCACATCAAAAACATTCCGAATTGCTGACTTGGGCTGTTCAACGGGTCCCAACACCTTTTCGGCTGTGAGAACCATCATTGAAGCCGTGACCCAAAAGTACAAAATGGCAGGGTCTAATTCTACCCTAAAATCGGAATTCCAAGTGTACTTCGCCGACCATGCCTCCAATGATTTCAACATGCTCTTCTCCAGTCTCCCTTCGGACAGGGAGTACTTCGCTTGTGGCGTTCCAGGTTCTTTTCATGGCAGGTTGTTTCCGACGGCCAGTCTCAATTTCGTCAACTGTTTTAGTGCCCTTCATTGGTTGTCCACAACACCAAAAGATTTGGGAAACCTGGATTCCCTTGCCTTTAATAAGGGGAGGATTTTTTATTACAATGCACCAGATGAAGTTGGCCAGGCCTATGCTGCTCAGTTTGCAAAGGATATACAATCCTTCTTAGCAGCTCGAGCACAAGAGCTGGCCCCTGGAGGATTGATGTCCATTATTATTCCAGGACGTCAAGACGGAACAACTTTTAAGGAGGGATCACTTGGCCCATTGTTTCAGCCCTTGGAATCTTGTCTTTTAGACATGGCAAATGCGGTATTTCTGATACAATTACTACACATTTTGTTGTTCAATCATATGAGAACGAATCTTCACAACATAACATAACAATATATAGTTTTTATTAGCTTTTTTTCGTAAGTCATGAATCAATTTTTATTTGAGAATTTATTGTTAACAAAAGTTATTGATGAAGTCTTATTGTTTTGCAGGGAAAAATTGAGAAAGATAAAATAGATTTATTCAACTTGCCCATTTACAGCCCATCAGTCGAAGAGCTAGGAGCATTGATAAGAGACAATGGGTGTTTCACCATTACAAGGCTAGAAGCATCACCTACAGAACCCTTGGCACTGCTTACGGCTAACGAGTGTAGATCTGGACTAGAGAGCATTATCACGAAGCACTTCGGAAGTGAAATTATAGGAGAGCTGTTTGAGCGATATGATGAGAAAATTAAAGCGCAGTCTCTCATTGGCCGTGGTGGTCTTGGAGTTGCTTTGTTCATCCTCCTCCAGCGCAAACTTTGATCGTATCTATGGACTGCTCTTTATTGTTATTTATGATAAGAAAAACTGATGATTTTTAAAGCAATAGACCTCCTTAGCCCTTTTTTTTAACTTTCTTCCATGTACAAAACAACTACCCAACACCTTCTGTACTATTATTATTATAGGACAAGAACATTAGAGATGACAATGTTGATGGATACAGCTATTTTACGCCTCAATTATGGTGAGGAAAAAGGTATTTACAAAATTATCATTCGAGTATTTTATTTTTATTTTATTTTTTTATGGAAGATTACCATTCGCTCATCATTTATTTGCTGCATTTGCTTATTAATGGAAAGAATTTTTTTATTAATTTTTGTAAAAAATATTATAGTTATAATAAAATTATAAATTTATAATCTAATGTGTTATTATATAATTAATTTATTTAATTTAAAATTTTATTTATAATATTATATATATTTATTTAATATTATATTATAATTATAAGTTTATAATATTATATAATATTATAATTATAATATTACTATTTTTGTGAGGAATTGACTGTAATTTACCAAAAATATTTTGCAGTACATTTTTTGCGTTCTAAAAAACATCAGACCACAATTAATGAGATTCTTGTGGGATTAGCAACGGATCTCACTAATCTTTAGCAATTTGTTTAGGAGAAACTGTGAAATACTAATCTCTCATAATTTTTACATCTTTTATTTTAATTATGAAAAATATTTTAAATAATTATTTTTCATAATTTGTATAAATGATAAAAAAAATAAATACCCATATATCTTTTTATATAAACTATATAGTCTTTTTATCAACTTTTTAAATTTTATCCTAATTTTTTAGTTAAAAAATTCTAATTAAATGATTTACATTAGGTTGGAGATTATTTAGCAATTAACAGAAGTATTTGTTCAAAAAGTTGTACATATGTATAATAAAAAAATATACATATTAAAAGAATTTATAAAACACTAAATATTAATCTTTATATCTTAATCTAAAAATATATATTTGTTCTTCTATTATATCTCATTTATTAAATATTCAAATTACATTTTCTCTTTTATCAATTAAAGAATTATGGTTAAATAACAACATCTAGTGAGTAGTGACGAAAAGATGTCGGCCTCAAAACTTGGCGACATGCTCTAGACGACATGCGAACCAGCCACTCTCCAAGAAGCCGCAGCGCATGGGAGGACATCAGCACTGATAGTGATAGCGACGGCTTCATCAACTTCTCGGAGTTCGCCACCCTCTGTTGTGCATCCTTCAATGACACCATAGCCGCCATCGAGCTGCACGTCACTTTTGATTTGTATGGTCAGGACAAAAAAGGCCTAATTTCGAATTACGAGTGCGCCTGGTGTTGGATCGGTCAGGGATAACGTTCTTGGGTATATAATGGAAGTTCATTTTTATTTTTCTCTTTAAAAATAAAATAAAGACACAACTTTCCATTGGAGCTTTACATGAGCTGTATTCTAAAGAAAGCTCCCCCTTTTTCCATTTTTTTAATCTACTTTAAAACTATGAAAAATTGCCCCGCTTAACATTAAATTACGGGACGCAAGTTTTCAATACTTTACCATTGGATTATTTTGATCCAACAGCTGGAATTTCCTTTTAGTTATTTACTTTTTCAACT